TTCCAACCCTGATATTCTATGATGATTCTATGAAAAGGTTGGGGACCACTGCCATAGAAGCTCACAGTTTAGTGCCCTTTCTCACGCTGCATCAAATGCTGGGCTGAGCATGTGCAACGTTTATAATTGACTTCTGTTCAGTCAGTTTTCAGTTTAAGACTTCTATGGTAGGGGTCCATGGACCACAGATTAAATTGCCAAAGAGGGCCGCACCGCCATTTAAAAACTTGTAGGGGTCCACAGATGAGAAAAGTTTGAAAACCACTGCTATAGATGCCATAGGCGTCGACTCCGGGGGTGCTCTGAGGCTGGAGCACCTGCAGGGAAAAATTGGTGGGTGCGGAGCACCCACTGGCAGCTCCCCCCCCTCCCCTGCCCCAGCACACCTCTGCCTCCGCTCTGCCTCCTCCCCTGAGCGGGCAGCCACATCCTGCTTCTCGCCCCTCCCTTCCTCCCAGCGCTTGCGCTGCGAAATAGCTGTTTCGCGTGGCAAGCCTGGGAGGGGGGAGGGGGTGGAAGAGAAGGAATGCAGCACGCTTGGGGAAGAGGCAGAGCCAGGGTGGGGATTTGGGGAGGGATCCAATAGGGGCAGGGAGGGGGCGAAGGGCCAGATGCTTAAACTCACGCTGCCTAACTTTCCATTGTAAAAATTTCCCAGGGCTTAAGTTTTTTAACTCTGGGGCACGTGCCCTCGTGATCCACTCTAGGCATCCGGATGCTTATCTCCCACCTCGTCCCCAAAGTGATTCACAAGCCAGGGGAAGGTAGGCATTTGGCTGCATAAATCACGTATGGGGCCTAAGCAGCTAGGTGGCCTTTGAGCATGACTCCCAGATCAGGTCCCATTCAGATTCATGTCTCTTTCCACTCATTGCTTTTTAATGTAAATGGTTTTCTCATAATATGAGTAAAGCTTTCTCATTTCCTTGTACTTTGGACTGTGGTGCAAAAAGAAGCTTTTCTCTTCTCCCAGTGAAATCACTTCTCTGTGTAGGTGCTGTGCTTTGTGTGTCCTGTTTCCACCTCTAGTTTATGGTCACTACTTCTAGATTTGGTAAGAGTCTGCCTTAATTTTTCACATTAAATTGTGCAGAGGTAGGCTGCTAGTGCAGAGCTCTGAAAGGGATCTTGTAAAATGGTATTTCAGTTTTTGAGCTCTTAATTTTAAGCAGTCAGTAGCAGGTGATGCGGTTTTCTCCTCTCAGCTGGAAGTTTGTCCTGTTGAAGCCTGCAAGAGATTAATATTAGTGAATCAAAAGCTAAGTAAAATCCACTCCTAGTCAGCAGTGGAACGTATGTTGTTTTGATTGATTGAAATGGCACTAGAAAAGCATTTGTTTTGTACATGGATCATAAAAGAAACATCACAATTCTGTTCTGTACTCAGTTTAGAAAAGAAGTGGGAACTAAGGAAAGCTATAATAATCTCTCAGATCCAAGACTTTGGGGGGAAGAGAACATGTTTTTCTTTCAAAGATAATATAATGTAACGGAAATTGGATTTTTCATGGTCTTGGATATCGCCTCTGAGGCTTGCAGTGTAGGACTCTGTAGAACAGCACTGCAAGCATAAAACTAAACCAGGCATGAAAATCTATGGAGTCTACTGGTTTTTCTGTCAATAAAAGTCTTCAAATACTGTGTTTTTTTTTAAGTGGGCCTGGCTAAGAATAAAAAACTACTTGTTAATTTGGCCCAAACAGTAAACCTAAGTACCATCATGAGTGCTATTAGTTAACCATTACTGTTACATTTGTACATAGTTAATTTTTTTTCTTGTGAAGAAAGCAACTAGTATTTAGATTTAACATATTTCTCTGTTCCCAGGTGCAAGGCTGGGGTAAAGCTGCTCCATTTGCCTGCCTTCAGTTGCAAAAGGAAGCCAAGAAATCAAGGGCAAATGAAACCATCAACAGTTGCCTGTTTTGCTTAGATATGAGGCAAAATAATGACAAAAGTGTGAGCCAAGAAACCAAGACTACAAGAGATCAATCAAAATCTGATTGCAAATTAAGCACATGTGCTATAGATGATACCGTTTCAGAAAAGAAAGAGGTTCCAGTCCATTCTAGCGAGTCTTCCAATTGTTCTACCGCAGATGGAACTAAGAAAGAAAGTTGTAATGGCAAGTTACGCTCTATTCAGACATTTCAAGGTGAAAAGAAAAGTTTGCCAGTAAAGGAATACAGTATACGGCAACCAGAAAAAATGAAAAACCCAGAAGCCCTAAAAAATAAAGCTGTAAAGACCCCTGAGCCTACCATGCCTGCTCCAGATAGCTCTGAAGCTTCAAACTTAAAGTCTTTGCTGATATTGCCACCAGTGAAAGATGCAACTCCAAAAGATAGCACAGATCCTTCTTTTAAGAAGAGTATAGCAGCTATCTCCCAGGCAAATCAGAAAATGCTCAATGCTACTTCAGCTGAGACTGCTTCCGGTAGTAAGGGTATTAAAACAATAGAACAAAAGGGGGGAAAAGAAACTGACTGTATCATTCATGATACAGTGAAGGAGAAACAAATTCACGAACCATTATCCTTTGTCCCAAGGCTTCCAAAAGCATTCCTGCAAGCAGGCCCTGAACAGTTACACTGGCCCTGTGCTCTTTGGCCAGATAGAAAAATTACAACCACTTCTAATTCTGTTTCTTTGAGAAAGAACAGTCATCTTGCTAACATGCAGTTTCTGCATACAAAAGGAATACAGTACACAAAACATGATGAGATCAGAGGTCCTTTCATCAACAGTATTAAAAACAGAAGTCTCTCAGAGGCCAAGCAAGGAAATGAATCAAAAACACAGGCGGTGCAACTGCTTCCTGGACTATTCCCTTCCTTAACGGTCAGCCATGTTGCAATAACCGCAATGTCTTCTAGACTGACCTAACATTTTTATACTGTAACTTCATGTCATTTTCTTCTATTTGTTTGAACTCATTATATGATGAGAAAAGGATTGAAGATACATTGTACTTGTGCTCCGTGTGAGCAGACTTGCCGTTTGTTAATTTTTGTAGGTGCTACTTACATGTATCAGTTTATAATACTATACATTCCTTCCAAATAATTTCATTTCCAGTTTATAGATTAACTGTCTATTGTATACAATATTCTAATTCCCCATTGCCCCATATTAATTTATTTAAGGTTCTACTGGAACTAAGTGCATTCACCTCATTCAGGTGCAGCCCTCATGAACAATTAGACTGTGGGGCAAGCTGGGGTGTGAATCTATCCCACATCAGTCTGCCCTGCTCTAACTGTCCATGTACACCCTGCTGCTATATGTTAAGTTTGTTACAGTCAGGGCCAGCTCCAGGCACCAGCCCACCAAGCTTGTGCTTGGGGCGGCACCTGGAGGTGGGCGGTGCGGTGTTGCGTTCCGGCTCCAGCCGCCAGGGAGAGCGGGGCCACGGCCGGGCACTCCGCCCTCCCCCTGGCCCTCCTCCCAGGGCTCTGGCTGCCCTCCCCCCTGGCCGCCAGGGAGAGCAGAGCCCCGGCCGGGGCTCGCCGCCCTCCCCCCGGTGCTCTGGCCGGGCACTCTGCCCTCCCCTCGGCCCTCCTCCCAGGGCTCCGGCTGCCCTCCCCCCCCGGCTGCCGGGGAGAGCAGAGCCCTGGCCGGGCACTCCGTCCTCCCCCCCGGCCCTCCTCCCAGGGCTCCGGCTGCCCTCCCCCCCCGGCTGCCGGGGA